GTCTTGTGCTTTATATCAAAAAGAAAAATGCCAAAAACAATTCAAACAGAGAAAAAAAGCCTTAGAGGACAAAATTGAAAACTTGCTTTCAAAGACTCAATTCACATAACATGTATGGGGATAGCCAGTTTATTTTAAAAGAGTGGTTAAAAGCAGAAAAGCACCAATTACAAATAGTTAACTTTTAAGTATGTAGAATATTTATGTTGATATAAAAGTACATTTGTGTTCTGTAGCAAAGGTCTAAAATGCAAATAGCTACTTGCTGGGAGATGGTAACCAACTGCTTTACAGATATTACCACACCAGTATTGTGTGAAAACCAGCTCTGACTGGAAGAACTTAAGACATGAACCTGGAAAATTGCAGCTACAATCAGTATCTTGAAAATACTTCAATGTTGGCTAATGTTTCATCAATGACTATTTGTGCTAAACAACAATATTTAAAACCAATGCAAGTTATGCTTTGCAATTTATATATCATCTCTTGTATTTAAGTATCACTTTTTTCACAGTTAGTAAATAATAATATGTATATATTCTGTTTCTTAATTAATATGAGTGTTATTTTTACACTGTTACACTCCTATGTGGAATTTTAGTCAATGACACACAGTGATCAAACGACTTACTGATACAATATTCTGACAACAGCCATTCATCAAAAATTACAATTTATACTCAATGTCCATATATTGAACACATTACCAGCATTTGCTTAATTAGCTTAGCTTTACTTTTTCATGTCTATAAGCTATAAATGATTAGTAAATACACAGAAAGACGATAGAGAGATGCTATTCTTTTGGCTCTTTCATACAGTTACAATTCAGAAAACACAGGTAAATAATCTTCAGTCTCTGGGTGTGCAAAGGGTCTAGACCCTGCAGGACTTGCTGTATCAGAGCGACTGTGTCTCCTTGCACTGCAATCTGAATGAGCATAACTACCACCTCATCAACGACTTCACTATCAAGCAGATGAGGCAAGGAGCATTCCTTGTGAATGCTGCCCTAGGTGGTCTGGTGGATGAGAAAGCCTTAGCTCGGGCCCTCAAAGAAGGAAGAACACTAGAAACAGCCCTCAATGTGCACCAGTCTGAGCCCTTTAGCTTTGCTCGGGGCCCATTGAAAGATGCACCAAATCGCATCTGCATGCCGCACACAGCCTGGTACAGTGAACAAGCATCACTAGAAATGAGGGAAACAGCTGCCACTGAGATCCACTGAGCTATCACAGGTCACATCCCAAAAAGCTTGCGAAACTCTGTCAACAAAGCATTCTTCATTACTTCAGCTCTTTGGTCAGTCATTGACCAGCAAGCAATTCATCCCAAGCTCAATGGTCACACATACAGGCATCCACTAGGCATCCTTGGTGTGGCTCCAGGAGGGCTTCCTGCTGCTATGGAAGGGATCATCCCTGGAGGTATCCTGGTGACTAACAACCTCCCAACAGTGGCACACCCTTCCCAAGCTTCCTCCCCAAATCAGCCCACAAAACACAGAGACAATCGACAGCACCCCAAGGAGCAATAGCAGAGAATGGTAGAAGGTAATCATTCAGATAAACTTTGGACCAAGAGACAGTAGCAAACAGGTGAACTAAGAAAAGGAATTTGGTGGTCTTTAAGACTGATCCTGGACATCACTGATGTTGCAGTGTTAAAGCTACAAGAGCTAGAATGCTAAAGATAGTGCCCGCTTCTGGAAGTGAGGAAAGACTAGGACATGATTTATTAACGACCAACTTCTGTTATTGTGTGTTAAGTTTTTCATCTGTGCATCAAATCACAAGGAATAAATAGAGCTTTCCTTTATCAATCTCTTGGACACAGCAGGTCCTGAGCAACTTGCTCTAGAATGTTGCATCAACAGCTCTGAATATTAATAAAAAAAATCAAGAGAAAATCCCTATCAAACTAGTTCCTTTGCTGGTAGGAAGATGGAATGGGGAGGACATTGTTTGCCTGTGTAGACATCTACATGCACAGGATTGAAGACATAAAAGCTCCTATACAGAAATGACTCTCAAATCTGAGCCAGCAAAGTTGATTGTGAGTTCAATAAAACCCTCTGATGATGCAAAAACAAAAAGAAACAAACAAAACAAAAAAGGAAAAGAACAAAAGGAAAAAAAGTATTAAGTTTCACAATCTGTTTGTACTCAAATATATTTTCTCAGTTTCAGATCCTCAGCTACTTTATTGAGTGGAAAGTCTTGGACGAGAAGGGTTCAAGAAGAATAATGTTGCATTTCCTTATGTCTCAGGAAACACTTTTTCTGGTAACTTGTCAGATTGTCTATGAACAAACCCACTTTTTTAAGACATTGATAAATTCTTTTCTTCAGATGATATTTTATATGAGAATACTTCAGATGTGCTATTAGATATGACTGATTTTAACAAATTCTATTAGTTTTGGGTCAGCTAGTTATATGTTCTATTCATAGTCTTTTGTGAATCAATGCTTTTTGTTTTTAAAGACAGTCTATTTTTAGCTTTTGTATAGGTACATTCCTGTTTGTGACAAAAGAAAAACTTTAAAGTTGTCCAAACAGGAAAAAAAAAAAGAAACTAGATCTTTAAGTTTTAATGTTAAGATATGCTTGATCACTTATATATCAAATTTGTTGAGAAAATGCTAACATTATTCCTTTTGGTCTTAGATTCCTAGTGAGTATGGATAGCATGAGTCTATTACTTTTTGTGATAATAATAAAACAAAATTCAATGATAAAATATTAAGATTGGCTAGGCATAATAGAACAAAATGTTTGCTCTATATTTCCAAGCTATGTATTATGGTTAACTCATCTACATTTATGAAGTATTTTTGTTGTTGATGATGATGATCAAAAAACTGGATGTTAAAATTAAGTCAAATAATATTAAATGTTTTCTTGCACAACTCCCCATTACTGCTATTGATTATTAAGAATGAACTCCAGAAGTATAATTTTTTCCCTTGGTCGATGTTTGCAATGTGAATGCAGGAACTCTCAGGATTTTGGCATGATAATTTACATTGGGTAAGGATATAAAGTTGTGAAAACTAACAGAACTATAACCTCTGCACTTTTTTTGCTTAGGATTATTTTCAGGCAATGAATTCTTCCCAATATTCCTTAAGGGTCTAATGAAATGCATGTTTATCATCAAATATATTTGAAAACACATGTAGGACACAAAGGAAGGGGTGTAAATCATTTTCTAATGATCTCTTGCTTCAGTATCCCATGGACTTCTGAACATATGGAAGTACTCAGGCTGTTTGTGGCCCCTTGTTTACTCACCCATCTCTTCCTAAAATGCTCTCAGAAGTTCTCGTTCTTATGTGTGGTAAAACTCTGAGTTATTGAGAATCAGCATGCATTCATGCTCTAAGATAAGGCCAAGCATTTTCTGTTTGAGATTTCACCAGCTATACTGTCTTATTGTATGTCTGATATAAATACAGTCTCAAGCTGCCCTTTCACAAATTTCCTTGATTCCTCTAATTAGCAGAGCGCAAGAAATATAGAAAAAATTATTCCATCATTTAATAATCCTCCAATTCTTTGCTTAAAAATAACAAACAAGTACAGACTAAGTACCCAGACTTTTAAGTGAATATCATTCATACCTTTAAATGTACAGATGAAAATGTATCTAAATATCCATTCAGATTTCTATACCATCATTTGTATATTCATATATATGCTTTTGTAGGATATATATAATCCCTAAGTGTTAAAAATAAAGCTAATATTTTAAATGCTGAGGAAGAACTTGGTGGCAACTTTTCTCTAGGTATATATGAATAATAATATACAATAAGAAGATGAAAAGTACTAAAACCGAATTCAGGTAACTGGAGCTGATTGTTAAGGAACACATGGTAAATATTATGAGCTTATAAGAATTTTATGTAGATTGTAATTCAAATTGGAAGAATTTTATGTAGATTGTAATTCAAATTTCACTGATTTTTAAAGGTTCAAAAATAAATTTTTGTAGTTCTTAAATATCAGAGGCAGATCCTGACCCCCAGGCTCTGAATTCTGAGCTTATTCTATGGCTACATGCTGAGGTTGGTTCATTTTACCACACTTCCTTTTTTAAGGAGAAAAACTGTCATATTTTCCTAAGATTTAAGGATGATTAAATTATTCTGGTAAGCATATATAAATATGGATTATTTTAATGGTACTGAAATATCAATATATCCTGTAAAGTCTATCCTGAAGAGGCAGGCTTTGACAGGTTAGATAAATAATTTGTAAATGTAAAAATTCATAGGATGCCGTTTGATATCAGGAACCATAAATTTATTTTCTCCACACTAGAAAACTTAGTTTTCTTCAAATAATAAAATTATGACTGAAAATACACAGTAGAAACATGCTTTATAAATACAATCCTTTACTAACAGAGCAAGCCCTTCTCTTACTGAAACTAGAATGTGTAATAACAGGACAGTAAGGTGGCTCGGTGGGCAGAGTTATCTGTTGCCAAGCCTGACAACCTGGGCTTCATACCCAGGACGGCCTGGCAGATTCTGAAACAATCAGCTGAAACTGCTGAAAGCTACTATTTACCCTCCACAAGTACACAATGACACATGTAGATTCCTGTATGTCACATACACATATGCACACAAATTAAATACTTAAAAGTTCAATAGGTAAACATATTAAAACAAAACTTTGGACAGAAAAGTTAGACAACTTATTTTATTTTATGATCATCTTAAGTAGCCATGTATTTAAAATAAAAGACAAACAATTTCAGATTGAGGGCAAAAACTAATTATTTTATTGAGGATTTTTTTTTCATAAATCCTCAGTTACAAGCTATATCTTGAATGATTTTTTCTCTGTTATCATCTATTCTACTTAGAAAAGCATTGATTATTCTCTTTTCTTTACCTCCCTAAAACAAACAAACACACAAGCAACAACATCATGAGAGAACATTTTCTCATTCCACCTGTAAGTTCACAGAGGCATTTTTACCTTAGTAATGACTTCATGGAGCTTGAAAGATGGATCGACTTCTTCAATTTTTGTTGCATGTTTAGGAAAAATGGCTTCAGAGAGAAAACTTGGACTCTGTGACAAATAAAGGAGAAAGTCTTCATTGATTTTGTTTTTCCAAGCACGTTCATTGGATTTTCTTTAAAGACGCATAAAGCCCTAAATTGCTTTAAGGTTTCTGAGCTTCACCTGACTGATCTAATTATCCATCCCAGAGTATTTGTAAATTAAAATGAGTAGAATTATATTCCTTTTGACATTTTATACATTCACAAATAGGGTTTTCTCCACAAAAAGATTCCTCTCATATTTACAGTATTTATAGTTTATATACAAACATAAAGGAGATGTTTTGACTACAAAATCGCTACTAAAATTCTTTTCTATTTTTTATGTTGTGTGTTTATGGCTGGGAAACTACAATGTTTTTGATAAACATGACTACCTAGAAAAGAATAGGAAAAGTGGACATGTTATAGTATTTTAAAAATAATGATGGCATCATCAAAACAATATGACACAGGTAGAAATCACACATGCCTTTATGGCCTGCCTAAAAAGTGACTACACATAGTAGCAAAATCTCAGTGTTCAAGTGAATGAAACAAATTAAAAATAGTCCAAATAATTCATTTTTATTTTCAGGCTAACCAAGGTTTAGAATTGAGGAAGACATAGAATATTGATATTGTTTCTATCTAAATCAGTGTTGTTGGAGCTATCGATATATTGCTAATATTCTTTTCAGTGTTTTTTTCTTACAGTGTAAAGAAAATCCTGATTTAGGAACCTGGAGGTTAATTGTGCTGGAAAACTTCATGTCAACTTGACATAAGTAAAAGTCATCCGAGAGGAGGGAATCTCAAATAAGAAAATGCTTGCATAAGGTCAGGCAGCAGCAACGCCTGTAGAGCTTTTTCTTAATAATGGTTGATAGAAGATGACCTCCCCTATTGTTGGTGGTGCCATCCCTGAGCTTGTGGTCCTGCATTTTATAAAAAAGCACACTAAGCAAGCTATGAAGGGCAATTCAGTAAACAATATTTCTCCATTGCCTCTGTATCAGTTCCTGCCTGCAGGTCCCTGCCCTCACTGCTATGATATATGGAACAATGAGCATAATAATTCCTTTCCTCCCTGGGTTGCTTTTGGCCATGGTGTTTCATCACAGCAATAGAAACCCTAACTAAGACAAGTTGGTATTAGGATAGTGGGGTATTGTTGTGACAGATATGACCATGTTTTTTTGGGGGGGTGATTGTGGAAGGACTTTGGAAATTTGAGCTAGAAAAGACATTGAATGTTGAGAATACAGTGAGCTGTTCTGTAGGATCTTGGAAGATAAAAATGTTGAGGACAATGCAGAAGATGAAGGCCTGGCTTGTGACATTTCAGAGAGAAGTTTAAAGACTTTTCAGGTGTGGGGGCCCCAATTACTCAGGGTCAGAAAATCTGAGCTTGCTTTACCTAGTAGGTGATTTTGCCAGGGACATGTTTACCACGTGTTTGAAGGGTCTACACTTGGCTGTATGGTATGCATTGATCTTGCAAGTGGGAGGTCTTTTGCCTCTCCTCCTGGCATATTATAAAAAGCCCTTTTGAATAAAGCTTGGAGCTGTTGGGTATTGACCCCAGCTCTCCCGAAGCTATCCTGTGTCTCTGTCTTTCTCTTCATCATCAAGTCTCTATTTCTACCTAATATTTCCTAATTCCTCTCTCCTCCATGCAAGAATCCTTTTGCAAGGTAGGAGCAGGTTGGAGCTGGACTCACACAGGCTCACACAATTGGGGCCATTTCTTATTTTCAATTAAGATTATGTGGTTCTGGTTAGCTTGAGCTGAAGAATCAGCTGTGATTAACAGGATACCAGAACTAGTGAAAAGAAACCTCTGCTTTTACTTGATGCCAGTCAGCTGAAGCTGAGAAATTAGTTTTGATTAGGAAAAGACCAACATCACTAAGGTAAAATCTGGAAGGTGTTTCCTGAAAGCACAGAGAAGCTGTGTTTCAGAGGTGGCCAAGGTTGTACTTTACACTGGCAGCTGAACTTGGTTGTGTAAGAGTAACCTAGGTGGTTCTGGTTTTGGAGACATGAATGAAGGAAGGGGTCATGAAGAGCAGCTGGGGCTTGACACTGTGAGAGGTCAGAGGAGGATATTGGTGAAGGTACACCCTCATTTGAAGACCCAGCATTGAAGGGGTCATGAAGAGAAGTTGAGACTTGGCACCATGAAGAGCATCCATGAGAGGCAGTGCAGGCCATTTGCAGCAGAAGAACCCAGGATTTAAAAGATGTCTCTACTATGGATGATCACCAAGGACAGCAGCAGCAACGGAATGGCACCTGCCTGAGCTTAGAAGACCAAATGTGTTCGTCAGAGGACAGAGCTGGAGAAGTGACCCAAACCCTTGGGAGGAGCAAAGAAGGTTGTGAGTTGATCCCAGAAATTGGACATTGCCTCATTTACGCTTGGTTTTGCCTTGATCTGATTGTGCCTGTGCCCTCATTCTTCCATCTTGAAATAAGAAAGTATTTAACCTAATGTTGATTTTTATGAGAGCACACATTTGAGAGTATTAAACTTTTAAAAGAAAATTTGAATTTTTAAAGAGATTGGATATTTTTAAGAGACTGAACTTTGAATGTGTTTAAATTAGTAAAGACTATGGGGCTGTTAAAGTTATTTATGTTTTTAATGTAAGATTTTTTTTTTTGGTATTTTGAGACAAGGTTTTTCTGTGTATCCCTGGCTGTCCAGAACTTGCTCTGTAAATCAGGCTGACCTCAAACCTGCCTCTACATGAGATCTTAAGGATGAAAGAGAAAGGAAAGGTGTGACTTAACGGTGATGTGTTTATGTGTCAAATTGACAAGAGGTGAATTGTGTTGTATAGTTTTATGTCAACTTGACAAAAGTTAAAGTCATCTGAGAAGAGAAAACTCCAATTAAAAATTGACTTCATAAGATCGGGCTTCAGGTAAGCCTGTGGGCATTTCCTTAGTGATTGACGGGGAAGGGAGGGCCCAGCACTGGTCCTGGGTTCTATAAGAAAGCAGGCTGAGCAAACCATGTGGAGCAAGTCAGTAAGTAGCACTCTTCCATTGCCTCTGCATCAGCTCCTTTATCTAGGTTCCTGCCCTGCTTGAGTTTCTTCCCTCACTGCTTTGTTATAAGGAACCATGAGTGAAATAAATCCTTTCCTTCCCAAGTTGCTTTTGGTCATGGATTTCCATCCCAGCAACAGTAACTCTAAGAAAGACATTCATTTTATAGAAAAATTGGGACAAAATCTATGTAAGTATGTAGGTAGATAAATGGTAGATGGATCGATGGACCAATCTCTCTCTCTCTCTCTCTCTCTCTCTCTCTCTCTCTCTCTCTCTCTGAGAGAGAGAGAGAGAGAGAGAGAGAGAGAGAGAGAGAGATGGATAGATAGATAGATAGATAGATAGATAGATAGATAGATAGATAGATAATAGATAAAGACTTAATAGAGAGATAGATTGAAAATCACCCTAAAAGGAGATTTGAAATGCAGATCAACAATGATTGCAGAAAAGTAATGTTTCAAAGTGCCTTTTATTATAGTATTTACTGGTGATCGACAATAAGAGAACAGAAAATATTTTAATATATCTAAGGTTAGGATGGTTGTTGGACTGTTTTGAAGGTACACAGATGAAGACTGGCTGGAGCTGTGTATTCTGGAAAAGAACATGAATTAATTAAATGTTATTAGAACCTATTTATACTGTCTGTTCATCACAGTATATTTCACAGTTCCCTTTTCATTTTTTTCTGCCAACTGAAAACAATTTTGTTAAACCTTTGCCCAATCCTTACCAAGTTTTGTAAGACTTTGCACGAATTATATATGACCCAACATATTGTAGCTATTTTCTCTGAAGCAGTCTATCTGGAAGAAGGAGGGAAAGTGATGAGATTCAGGAACCACACATAAGGTGCAATGCTGCGACCTGCCTGGCTTTGGAACTGACCAGACTAGGGCAACAGACAATGAAGAAACGGCAGACATAACCAGAGAAGCTGGGATCAGGAGCGATACATACTGGGCTGAAGAGCCACCGACAGTAGCTGGAAACTCGGCATGTTTATTACATCTAGAATAGAGATAAATCTAAACCTAAATTAGTGAAAGTACAATGATTCATTTGTTGTATTAATTCTTTTTTCTTCCTTTTTCGATTTTCTTGTTCCTTCTCCATCTTACTGGTCCCCTTTCTTCCCCCAAATAGTCCCCTATGTGCTTTCATGTCTCTCTCAAAAATGAATGTACTTTGTCTCTATTTCTCCCATTTTCTCTTTATACCCTTCCTTGCTCCGTCTTTCTTTTACATTGCTTCCTTCCCACTCTAATCCCTGTCCCCCCCCACACACACATATAACATGTATATCTCTATGTGTAACAAGAATGTAATATTTACCTTTTTGAGTAAACCTGACATATTTTACTTAGTGTGATCTCCAGTTCCATGAATTTTCCTGCAAATTATTTCATTTTATTCTTTATGGCCAAATACAACTGTATTTTGTGTGTGTGTGTGTGTGTGTGTGTGTGTGTATATATATATATATATATATATATATATATATATATATATATATCCATTTCTTTATCCACTCATCTGTTGCTAAGCATGTAAACTAGTTCCATGTATTGGCCATTATGAATAGCAAAGGAATGAATACAGATGTGAAAACATTTCTATGGTACTCTCAGTTAAAGCCTATTAGGTATATTTACAGGAGTGGTAGAGCTGGCTCATGAGGTGGTTCTCAATAAACCATTCTTGTTTGTATAAACTCAAATTCATGTACATTTTAAAATTTCATTATGTCATAGGGGACATGCATGCATGCATGTCACAGCAGACATGTAGAGGTCAGGTGACTGGAGAGAATTCGTTCTATCTCACTATGTGGGGCCCAGACATTAAACTCAGACTTCAAGTTTAATAGCAGAAAGCTTTATCTGCTGAGTCATCACACTAGCCCTCCTCATTTATATAATTGTTTTCCCTTCCTTCCTTCCTTGCTTCCTTCCGGAAGCA